GCCAGCTGGTGTACCTCTTCAGGCTGCTGTGTGGCACTAGTCAACCAACAGACCCATAATACTATTTGAGGCACCTAAAATCCACATTTTGTTTATCAGCCTCTTTGGATCATTTTTCCCAAATTTCTACCACTTAAGTTTTCTAAAGCTTCTGTGTCTCACAGTGTCCAGAAATGCCCACTTCCTGACAGCCCTACACAGAGTTGCACATTTAATAAAACTGTGCCCCACTAGCTTCTCTTCCCTATTTTTTTTATCTATTTATAATGTTCAATCTATTAAGCATGCACTGACAACCTCTAGTCCTCTGGAAACACAGCGTCGGTAGAGCCACTGCAAATGCTTTTGCCTCAAGAGTAAGCTATCTGGAGCATCTGGGGAGACATGGAAAATGTAGATATAAAGTGCAAAAGATGCACTGTGAGCAAATATGAGAAATAATACTGAGAAACAGAGTATTTTTGGGTAGGCTTCTAGTATTTTGCACTGAGTTTAATTTTGCTTAACAAGATAAAACAATCTGGAGAGAGAAAAAGGCAAAGAGAAATCTATATGGCAGACAATTTGAGCAGAAAGTAGAATACAAATGTGTAATAGAAATGTTAAGCAAAGCACAACAGCTTCATCAGCAAAAGCCCAAAGTAGCCCCACTGAAGTGCTTGGTGGCAAAGTGCTTTGTGCAGTGATAAGAAGCCAAGCCTTGACTTCAAGAGTCTGGCTGAAAAAACCCCACAAGAAAACAGCAAACAAACCCACAACACTTTACAATGAAGCTTACAGTGGAGCTTGGCATTGGCACCTTTCTACAGCTGGAGGGGAGTTGTTTCTTACTAACTGCTGTAGGTGGTGACGTGCACAGCTCATGGCTTTTCAGAAAGTCAGAGAAGGACAAGTCAGGAAGTTGAGAATTTCAATGGGGAGTAATGCAAAGGTGTTTCAGCCTCAGGCATACAGTAACTCTCGATGCTACCTCTGGTGTGCCCCCATGGCAGCATACAGGACCTTGTCAGCACAATGCCTGCCATACATGGAAACCTACATTAGAACAGCTGATAACAGAGATTTCAGGTACAATAAGTCATGTTACAACTAACCTACACAGCCCAGACTATTGCTTCAGTGAAAAGTTTGCCTCTTTCTTTAGTATCTTTTCCTTTAACATGTGTAACATTAGACATACTGGACAGATTCAAAAAGAGCATTATTAATTAATACTCAGTATTTGTCGTGGATTCTGAAAACCCTATTTAAATGACTTTTGTATCACTGTTTGATGCTCAGAAAGAAAACCTCCCTAGGCTTTGCTAGTCTCTCTCTTTTTTTTTTTTTTTAAAAAAAAAAAGCATATTAAGAATTTTGCTTTTTCTTTAACAAAAAATGCTCTTTCCCCAGATAGAAAGTTACAGAGACCGTGTTTTTCCAGTGCAGGCAGGCTGCAGGTGGAGCACGTTAGTGGTGCCCTTGCTTCAAGGCTATGTGAGCCGCAGCTCTCCCTGCTGCAGCTCTCTCTGGGGCCAGGCTCTCTGCAGAACAGCACAGTTCTGCAGGCTTGGCCTTCTGGAGGTAAGAACAAGTAGGAGCTGTTGTGAATCTAGCAGCTTCCCTGACTAGAAGAAGCGGTTCACACCTCTGAATTAAACAAAGGACTGAAGTACATTCAGTCATTTTGCACAAATATTAGCACTACCAAATGACAGTATGTGAAATAATCACATACTTCAATTAATTAGGTTTGGCTCTGCTACATTCTATTTGCAGTCCCTCTCAGGAACCAAAAGAGAGTATTGCTTAAACAAAGGGCCCAGCCTCTCCTGTTTGGAGTCATGTGGAAGATATAATAAACCAAACTCCAGCCCACAGGGCTGCGGCTTTCCCCCACAGCTGTCTGCCACCGCATTCCATGTAAAGAGGAAATTTGTAATTTTATAAATGTATTTTTATACTGCTTTTTTCTATGTGTGCACATCAAATAGGCAAGTATATTCCTCCTCCTACTACCTTGAAACTATTTCATATGTGCTGCTGTAACGGCAATGGCCACAACCACGCTATGTTCCTTACAAGCATAGCCTCACTGCGAGGTGACACTGTTGGTTTCACTTCTACCATGACTGTGCAGCCAAATGGAAGCAATGTCATACAGACAGCCGATGTGCTTCTTTCTTCACTGTACTAATAAAAATTTACAATAATTTTCCTAGTAATGTCTCTGCTTCAGGTGTTTCAATCTTCCCAGAGACTCAGTGACAGTGTGAAGAGAGTAGTGACAAAATTATGACTTCAGCTAATTCCTAAAAACAGGTTTGAAATGGTATTGAACTGCTCTTATCTGGTTTGTCATGCACTGCTGACAGCTCTGCTTGCATCACAAATTGGTGGAGGGTTTGGCACTAAACCTCCTCTGCAACTTGTGTAGGGAACCTGCTTTGGCAGGGGGTTGGACTCGATGATCTCTGGAGGTCCCTTCCAACCCCTACAATTCTGTGATTCTGTGTGAACTTCTGGTTTCTTCTGCACATATGCATCCAGTACAGAAAAATACCAAGGACAGCACTATCAACAACAATTTGGGATTTAAATAGTTGAAAAATTAACGTTTGGTTATATGGCTTTCCTCAGGCCAGCTAAGGACACAGCTCCTTACAATCAGGATGCTGAATTTCAATGCATGAAGATTTTGAAATAAAAAATACAAGCATGCAGAAACATGAAACATTTAAAATTTGGCTTTTAATTGCAGTCAGCAGTAAGGCACCTGGGACCATGAAGATAGGAGTAAATAAACCAGAATAAAACACAAACTAGTAACACAAAAACCACATGGAGATTCAAGTGTTAGAAAATTCTTAGCACATACATCTTTGGGATGTGATCGCTGCCTCCTGCAGGGACTGAGGACTACCTGGAGAAGCAGCACCCCGGGGGGCAGTGGTGCTTCATGCTCTCATGCTGCAGCCAGTGGCACTGTGGGACAATCAGAGCATGGCTTAGAGAATCTAGCTCAGTGTGCCCCATAAGCAGGACAGAGCTGGGCTGTGAAGTCATCCACTATATGAAGGCTGTGGCTTTTGCCACCTGCAAATGCTCAGTGCACTCACTGTTGCTGAAGAAAAGTGGAGAAAAAAAGAAAAAGAAAAAGAAAAAAGGGAATTTTCTGGCAGATCAAATTTTGCACAGCAACCTGTGAGTTAAAGCTGATCTAAGCACAGTCACAAAGTTGGGGCCAAAGTTGGGGCAGAGGCTGAAAATTGGTGTTTGCTTTTTTTTTTTTTTTTTTTAAACCAATAACCAAAACATTAAACACTGTGCTGTCTTTTCTGACATCTGCAAAACACCTGTGAGATGATCTTAAAAAGCCCACCTTCCAAATGGCAAAGTCAGGTCATGCTGTGCAAAAGCAAACAAGGGACTGTGATGTCTCCAGTGCTAAAAAATAATAATAAAAAACTTTCAACTACTGAGAATGGAGGATGATTAACATGCACCCCTCATTTGGTACCACTTTAGATATAGCCAATTAACAATTTGAGGCTTTTATCAAAGACTCAGTGTCTACATCTCCCAGTTTAGTAAGAAAAAGAGAGTGATCATGGTAGACAGTCATTCAACTTTTTGGGCTGTTTGTCCATATATGGGAACTGCTGAGTCACAGCCTGAACCTCTGATCACCAAATGAGTCAGCCAGAGGAGCACAGGTGAAGGCAATTTAGACCTATTTAAGAGCTGACTACTAGTAGGGAAGGATCTCTTCTGGAGATCTGCTCTGCTGGAGTTTTGTAAGTGAGCCCAGCATAGAGGTAAGCTTTCTATCTATTCTCTTTTTGTTATCATAATCTGCTTTGCCAAACTCTCTTGTTTATTTTGTAATTATAACATCTTCATATTCATGTGCAGAGAAAGCTGACATTTGCAGTCAGGACACCTGGAGTTTTCTCCTAGCAAGTTAACCCCAGCAGTTACATTTCTTTCTAGTCCCCTTAAACACTTCTGAACCTGGTTCTGTGATTGAATTTTCCAACTGCAAAAAATGTAAGACTATTACAAAATATAAAATAATTAGATTATAATAGAAATGAAAGTTACAGCTTGAACCAGTGACTGAGCACTGGTAGGAAGGCAAGGCCAACCCAGGGGAGCTCAGGTGCATGCAATACACCTGAGTGACCAGAAAGGGTGGGGTCAAGATCCAGACCTCATTTAAGGGTTGGCAATGAAGATAAGGGCATCCTGCTGGAGAACCTTGTGTGTCTGAGGCCTTTTAAAGATGAGTAGCTATTTCTATGTCCACTGCTGGTGTGTTTGAGCAAATTCTCACTCACTGCAGCCTGGGATCTTGCTGCTCTGCTGTCACTGTGCTTTCCATCATGTTACATTACATAAAATATAGGAGTACACAATCAAGTATACCAAAGCCACATAAAAATAATAATTATGAATCTAATAATTATGAATCTACTTAGGCTGGATGCAATCTCCAAGAACTTGAATGTTTACTCTCATTTTGAAGGTGGGCACTACGTGTGTTAGAACTTATCAAAATTGTTTTGTCAGATTTGAACCAAATTTAAAAAAAAAAGAAGTGCCTGTTGTCACTGGCTCTTTCCACTGTTTTTCTTCTATGGGCTAAACAAAAGGATGTTTTTGTTCTTGCTAACTATGAGGGTGGAATCAGCACTAATTATATTGTGCCATTTGAAATTTCTGGCAACATGTGGTGACCTGCATCTGAATGAACCTAGTGTGCTCTTGGTATCTGCCCAAAATAGCAGCAGCTGTCTCAGACCTCACAGCGTTTGTTTAAATTCCTTCAGAGATCATAGGAGATGTGGAATATGTAATGTTGATCATTGGTATGGAACGCTCATGGTTCAATTAAAAAGCAGAGCCATTGCCCCAAATATGGTAACTGAAAATAAACACAACAGATCTCGGCAATTTGGAATCAGAAAATTTGAGAAAGAAACAGAGCAAAAATTGGCTCAATAATAATAATTATCTGCTACGGTTTAAGGAAATAGTTTATTTCAGTAAGTGCTAGCAGACACAAACAATTTCACAGATTCCTCCATAAATTGGCCATATAACTTTTTGGGCAGGAAAGTAAAAAGGAAACAATATTTAGAAAGAGTCACACTCATCTCAGCTTACATGGTGTGAAGAGCAGTGGGGAACTGGCAGAGGTGGAACATCTCCAAGACATTTACACAACAGAGCTCAAATTTGAGGCATACAAATGGCTACACAGTCTTTTGAGCAGCATTTAGCAATGCTCATGCTGTTTAATATGAAAGTCTGGAGGAATGTGAAAACAACTGAGAGTGAAAAAGAGAAATGCCATTAGTTACAAGCTGCTGTATCTGAAGACACTCAGGAACTTCCCATCACTACTTGCAGATGATTTTCCAGGGCAGGCATGAGTTTAAAAGTCTAGAGAAAAGTCAGGCAGCCAATATCCAAGTTGGGTGAGGAGAAAAAGGTCAGTAGTGAATGAGATGAAAGGAAAAAAGGAGACAGAGGGGATGTAGCAGGAGGATGAAGTACCCTGGAGAACAAGAAGCTGCACAAAGATTTTCTGTGGGAATGTGAAGGAGATATGGGATTTCTATGTCTCATCCAGGGCACTTTCCTCCTGGCTTAAATAGTGTTTGGATCATGCTGAGATGGTCATGGAGGAGCTGGACCACAGTGGTTAAGATAATTACTGTATTAAAAACATTAGAGAAGTTTTGTAATAAACAATCTAAAACGACTACATCTGAGCCTTTCTGCTTGCTTCCTATCTCAGTAAGCTATGAATTTCAGGCAATGCTGTGATAATGGGGACAGGAATGCAAGGGAGTAGCATGGCTTGTGATAGAGTGGATTTTATCTAAACTGAATCTGTAGGTCTACAATTTTTACCGTGTCCTGTCTGTAGGAGGCATTATGCAGTGTTGCATGAAAGAGAGAAGCAGTATGCAAAGTATACTGCATGAGAAAATAAAACCTCTAGCCATTTAGACCTTTAACACTTCAATAAATCACTGAAAAGCTTTACAAACTCAAAAGCTTTTAGGTAAATGAGTGCATCATCTACCTTGGCTGAAAAAAAAAAAAATAAAATCATATTGTAGCATACACCGGCAGTTATTCTTGGATTTTCAGTGGTTCACATTGCAACTTTATAAATAACATTAAACCATTTTGTGCACATAACAAAGAATTCAAACTTGCTTTGCATTCTAGAGAAATGGCACTGCTGCACTCTTCATTAGTACGTGCAAAGACTTTGGCACATCAGACATCTGAATCGGTTCTCTTTGAATTCAGAAATGCAGTCTTTTCAGAGTTTAAGTTACTTCTATTCCCAGGCTCTTCCTCCACTAACTCATCCCTTGAACAGTCATGAAAAGGTATTCTAGAAAGCGGTACAACACTGGCAATGCTTTCTTCCTTTAATACAGTACCCGTGGCTGAGCCAGTAGACCCAGAAGTAACCTGCAACTCCATTCTACAGCTTACAATGCGTTCATCCTTCCATTTCTTAATTGCTTCCCTCTTCTCCTCAGGGATCAGTTTGTCCAAGTGCTTGGCTTTCAACACTGGAGATGGAAACAACGTTCCTTGGAGAGCTCTCAGGAAGTATCTACAAAATATGGTTCCAAATAAGCTGGTCAGAAGCAGACTCAAAACCATTCCCAAAATCACATCTAGCAGTGAAGGAAACTAAACGCCATTCATTTAAACCTAAGATTGCAGCAGCCTCTGAAATACGCTTTGGCTGGTGCCATTTTGAGAATGCAAATTATCATTCCAGCAACAATACCAGAGCATGTTTTAAAACAAGTAAGTATTTTCAAATGCTGATATTCAGGTTCATTATTATTATTATTATTATTATTATTATTTGTCTTTGCAATAGAACCATAGAATGGTTTAAGTTGGAAGGGGCCTTAAAGATGGCCCAGTTGCAACCCCCTTGCCATTGGCAGGGGTGACACCTACCAGATCCAGCTGGCATTGAACATCTCCAGGGACGGGGTATCCACAGCTTCTCTGGGCAGCCTGTTCCAATTCTTTACCACCTTCACAGCAAAGAATTTCTTCCTACTATCTGATCTAAACTAATCTGTTTTTTGTTTGAAGTTACTACCTCTTCCTTCAATCGCTAGTCTCCCTGATGAAGACTATCTTCCCAACTTTTCTACAGGCCCCCTTCAGGTACCACAAGACATCAACAAATTAAGGAAAACCACTTTGTTAGCAGTAGCAGCTTGTGATTATAAAACAGAAACATACCTGGGTAGCAGAGCAACGCAAGTAGTCAGGAGGCACACTAGGTAAAAAACTGGATCTGCCATATGCTTTTCCATGATCCGATAAGGATTCGATAGTGGATTATGGGTTCTGTAGGTTGCCCCAAAAGCCAGAGCAAAAACGAAGTAAAATAGGATGCTGCCAACTATAACTATTGTATGAATCCAAGTCTGCAAGTTAGAAAAGAAATCAGATCTAGGCTGTAAACAGGAAGACCCATAAACCCTATAGGCACATGTATGCGTGAGGATGCATAGCCCTTCCCCCCCCCCCATGCTCTTCCTTCAAGGATAGCTTCTTAATGTAACAGAGGAGAAAACTATCCAGATAGTATTCTTAATTCTATGCAAAGCACTATCAGGAAGAACAGAACCTTTTTTCTACACTTCATAGGTAATCCAGCTGGTTTTTTTATTTATGTATTTTATTCTGCTAAAAGTATAGCTATCAGTTCACTTGTGTAAGACTTTATGATGCTATTTGCTTAAATGATCACCTTACTCGCTGGCAGCTGAGAGTCTTCTCAAGCAAACAGAGGTGATAGCTTTACATGACATGTCTCTTACATATGCTGCTTGAGACATTGATTAACTCTTCATTGGAGTTATGGCTATAATGGTTACTATAGAAACAACACTGTCATTGGTCTGACAGCTTGCCAATGTACCAAAATGCCAAATAAAACCCATTTATGTATTGCTTTCCTGTTCAGAGTATGGATACACTCAAGCTATGTATGTAGGTAGACTAAAGGCATTTGTGTAAGTGCTACCATGTGCCTGGAAGAAGAATGAAAGAAAGAATCACAACTTGCAATTTTATCCGTTATGATACAATTCCAAAGATGTTTTTCAAAACTGACAGGAAAAAAATCAAAAGCCATTAATACCTGTCTGTACTGTAAATATTAGTATATTCTCTTTAAAATTATGTCTAATGGGTAAATGTTACCCTTGTAAAAGCTTTAAATTCATCCAAACTAATGCAGCGTCTATGAACAGGTATTTTATTTCACACAGACAAGTGAAAGCTGGAATACAGTTTCATAACATACTGGTTCTCTAGAGCAGATCATCCATTTCAAGTATTCAAAAATCAATAGCTGACATTGTTTTTTATGAGAAGCAAGCTTTGGGAACTTATGGAGGCTCAAGCAGATCACCAGTTGGTTTTACCATTTGCCAAATCAAAGTGACATCCCCCAAACCCACTGACTCCTAATAAGGCAGGATCCCTCATTATTAAATAATCCTGAAAACAAATTTTGTTAATTTTAGTCACATAAGTAATTCTGTTGGCTCCAATGACAGCTTTCTTAGGAGAGCTTACAGAGACTTATAAAGGAAATATTTCACCTCTAACTCTCTTATACTTATTCAGTTTTGTGTACTAAACTCTCTTCCATAAATTTTAATGAAAGCTGCATACACGTTCTGTTGAGGAATGTACTCTTCAGAAAACAAAGTACTCACCACGGATTTGCACTCAATGAGAAGGTGAAACAATATTATAAAAAGTGCTGCTGTGTTTATAGGGTTTCCAAAAGAAAAAATGTCTATATCTGAGCCATAGTAAGTCTGTAAAGGAAGACAGTATACCATACAGTCAGTGTAATATCCTTGGTGTATAGTTCTATGTAGTTCTATATAGTTGATATATAGTTTTATATGTAAAGTGGCATGATTTATTTAAATACTGGACATATTGCATGCACAGTTCAACTCAGTTCCATTGACAAATCTGCTACTATTCATTCATATACCACGAAGTACAATCGAAAACTACATTTTATTTCTAATTTGCCTGAGTTTTTAGTATGCCGAAGTGCATAAATTTAATATCCAGCACTTACGAAGTAAGGCACAAAAAAGCAAGCAAGACTTTGGTAAAAAGCATCCAGCAAGGTTATCCAAAAGGTTGAAGGCAAGTAGGCCTGTAAGAAACAAACAAACAAACAAAAAAACAAAGATAATGGCATTGAAACAAATTCAACAAATTGCTGTAGCTTTGTCAATGCATCCAGCTGGACTTGAGGAAAGATAATCCACAGAATAACTCCAGCTGGCTTCCCCATGAAGAGACATACTTTCATGGCACAATAGGAAGACGCATATATAGCTAGCTGCTATGATTTAAATCAGCAGCCAGATCTGTGAGTTCTAACCTTACAGTTGTTCCTCCTAGAATTGACCTGCCAAAGTCTTACCTGAGTGATAAGGAAGGAAGAGTGCAATGGAACAGTGAATCACCCTCACAACTTGCTATCATTGAATAACAAGTCTCATGTTCCTCCCACCTCCATTCCCTTCCTTTTTGTATGTCTCCTTCTGTCTTTTAATTTGTGCTCATTTACTCTTCTGTGCATATAGGACTTTAATGTGAGGTAACTAAATTCACTAGAATACGAAAAATCATTTTTCCCTGGTCACCCCTCCCCTTAAAAGTGGGATGTGACATTTTCTGCTGGGAATCTCACTACAACTATGCTGTTGTAGTGAGTTACATCAGCTCCTGAAGGAAACATGAACAGCAGAACTGGCACAAGGGAGGTGATCTAACTACAAGGGTGAAAATAGGGAATGGGAAGAAAAGAAGGGAGACAACGCAGAGGAATGAGGCTTCTCCATTCAGTGGCAGCAAACTGATGAAACTATAACTGCATGTGCCCTGGCTTAGGTATTTTCCATTCCTTCAAACAATCAATTGAGGCACGCAGATGCACAGTCTACTCATTCAGGATTTCCTCTCTCATTAGTAAGGACAAATGGGTTACTCCAAAAAGCAATTTAGCCCTTTCATGAACTGAATTTCTCTCTGGAAATGGTGTGGGAAACTAGATTCCTCATTTGCCCATGTCAGGGCGGTGCTCTAAATCAGTGAAGATGAATCCAAGGTACTGTCTACTTTTCTAGCTTGTAAAGAGCTGTGCTTATGACATAGTGGTGCAACATTATGACACGTATTTTTTAAAGCAGTGATCTTTCTTTTATAGTACGTTTAATTCAAAGCAGTTATTACATTGTGCTTTCATGAAAGGAAAGAAATGATATACTACTTAACAATTATAACCACAGAGCAAGACAATATTGAGCTGGGCAAAAAGAGAGAAACTTTGATAAATGTTTTAAAAACCCACCACAGATTTCTGGCTCATCTTATACAGCTGTGGGATCTGCATGAGTATCTCTGCAGACACATCTTTGTCCAAGACACCGTAAATGATGGGTGGCACCGATGTAAAAAGGAGATTGAAAAAAATCAAGATCCAATAGTCAGTCATTGATGTGCCTGAAAACCCACAGAAGAACTGGTACCAGAATAAGAGGTTCACGTAGGCCTGAAAAGTCAATGACGAGATGATAAAATGTTACCTGTAGACAAGTGTTTTAAAAATCAAGAGGAAAATAGGCAGGTTGTAGGTCTGGTTACAGTAATCTGTGAAAAATTATGTATAACTGCTATAGAGTCCCTGCCAATCCCATACCTTGAAATTATATTTGGCTAGCGCACATCTTTACACTTCCAAACTGGCTACATGGCTTGTTTAAATATTCATGCTATGAGTACGTTAATTAATGCCTGCTATCCACTTTTTAAACAAATTAGACAATGGCTTTCAGTAGGAAACTCAGTTCAAGCAATGGAAGAGTCTAGTCTCTGAAGATGTAAATGGGAAACAAAGTTGTTTGCCACACACTCTTTGCATATTTTTGAACCCATTCACAACAGAAACTAAAATATAATATGAAGCCATACTAGAGCCTTCAGTACTGTCAAATAAGCAAACTGCTTTCCCTAGGACAGGACAGCTACATACCACATTTTTGTAGAAGAAGTAGAGTATCATGTTGGTAAGCCTGGTGTAACACCAGTGACCATGGACAAGCAGCAGCTTCCTGAGATGCCTGAACTGAGAAATTGCAAAGTCACTTGCCATCACAGCCTGGAACACACATAAAGGAAAGCACTGATATATCCAAACTGCTAACGATGAGCTTCAATACTGATCAGCAAAGAACTGATATAATGCTGGAAACTCTTATTTTATGTTTTTTAATATATATAGCGCATATGAGCCTTGCCTTATTGAGATCTGAAGCCCTCTGTGCAACATCAGCAGTTCCAAAGAAATCACTGATACTTCATGCCATGAAACAAGTAGCCCAGATACAAAATGGGGAGTGCACCCTTCAGCTTCTGAGCACTCCCAGATAAGCGCAGGGGCTTGCACACTTTCCCTCAAATACAGCAATGGGCTGTGGAGCTGCTGGGCCTCCAGAGTGAATGTTGAACAGATTTGAAATGGAATCCAATGTCACTTGTGTCTGTCTCGTACACGTTACCTGCATGCCTTCTTGGCCCAAGATTCCCACACCAGTGTCAGCTACCTGGATCATACTGACATCATTGGCACCATCACCTACGGAGAAAAGTGAAGAAGTAATAACTAAGCTCTCTTAAGTTAGTTGAAACACAACCTGGAAGCAGCTTTACTGGCTATCACATTGCCATGGAGGTAGCACAGATACATAGACATAACACCACAGAATTCAGAGAAAATCATTTTCATAGCCAGCAATGTAGCCTAATGTATACCCTATGGAAAGAAAGATTAGAGTGTAGTAGGCCTGCCTGACTGAGCTGAGCAATATTCTTCAAATGGATATTAGCTGTTCCTTTTGTCAGAATTTTAGTCAGTACGCTTGGACAGAAAATATGGATGTTTTAAATCATAGTCATTTCCCTTCTCCCTCACTATTTCAGGGACTGTGATGGAGAACAACAACGAAAATCCCCTCACTTAACTTGCACACATCACATAATGCTGTACATGACTACTGCTATTCTTTGCTGCTTTAGATTACCAAGCACAGACTAAATTTGGTAGCTTAAAAGACTGTCATCATGTAATGCTAAAGACAACTATTACTCAAAGGATTATCTTCCTTGTAATTTAATTTTGTAAAGGACATTGGAAAAAATAAAGGAGAGAAGAAACTGCCTTCTGCTTCTTCTCAGAGAAAAGAAGGAAACCATGAGACTCACCTACAGCTAACGTCATTGCCTTCAGCTTATTTCGCACCAGTCTGACCAGCAGACTCTTCTGCAGTGGTGTGGCTTGGCAGCAGACTACAGCTCGACATTTTTCTGTGAGCTCCAAGAAAACATTCTGCAGGCTGTCCTGAAGGAGATGCTCTAAAGTCCTTCCATCAATAACCAGGCCTGCGCTGAAGCCTTGAGCTTGGGTAGAAGGACTTGCAGAGGCATTCCCAAGTTTCTGATTTACTTTTTTTTGCTCAGCAGTGTTTTTTTGCATGTGTTCTAAAATACTGTTCATCACCAAAGCACAAGCATCCTAAAGACAAGAGAAAAGCAACTTACTAAACACTGTTTGTATTCTGGCTCCCTTTCCAATTTACAAAGGAAATATGGAGAAAATGCCAGTTGCTATCAATGTGCAATGTATTTCTCCCACTTTGTAGAATATAAAGGGATTCAGACATGAGGCTGAATAACCCTTTAAAATCACAAAGGATGCAGTACAGAGGGTAAAAGCAAAGCTAAATTGTGGGTCATTAAGTAGATTGGTTTGGGTGTTGTACTAGGAGAAGAACTGAAACATTTTAGAAAAATATTAAAAGACAATCAGAAAAAAAAACAGCACAGTTGAGGGAGAATATGACAAAGTAGCACACAACCTAATTTGATCATTTTCATGGCAATAATTCCTATATTGCTAATACACTGTAAACTTATGGTTTAGTACTAGTGGTGGCAATGGTGATGAGGAGACGGTTGGACTGGATGATCTTATAGGTCGTTTCCAACCTTGTGATTCTTGTGATTCTTACAGCCACCTGAAATATCTAATAGAATGTGATGCAGGACATCTTTCTCTCCTAGCATAAAGAGAAATTAAGCAATCAGTTAAAAGAGTGACAACTGAAGAAATATGTACAGAAACAGACACTAGATATAGTATTTTATATTTTACCCATTGGGAAAAAAAAGTCAGCTTTCGAATATTTTCATCTTCCAAGTGATTATACTATCTTTTGTGAGATGAGAAAACAGAGAATATATTATTTTCCCATACAGTCCTGTGATATTGCCTGATGGCTTTTTTTTTTTTTTTTTTTTTTTTTTTTTTTTTTTTTGGCAGAGGAAACAAAATAAAACACCCTCTTGAACACTAAAAAAAGTGTAATTTTCTACTCACTCTACTTTGTGATTTGAGCGTGAAGATTCTGTCATCTGGCTCCAGCAATTTACAAGCATAGGCGATGTTGACAGCTGTCTCTCTCTTGTCACCTGTCAGCATCCATATTTTTATTCCTGCTTTCCGTAATGCCTGTATTGTGTCTGGAACACCATCCTGCAGGCGATCTTCAATGCCAGTGGCACCTTTATTTAGACAAGCAGATGGATTAGCACTGCTGTATTTCAAGAACCAAGTCTGCAAGCGTGACAGGACAAGAGAGTCCCTGTGTGTATCCACATTCCAGACATCATGTTGTGCATTCGGAATTTAAAACAATAGGAGAATGGAATATTTGATCAGCTGACATTATGTAAAACTCACTGTGTTGCATCTTACCAGTTATAGAAAAAGTTTTGACAAAAAAAAAATAATGTTTAACAGTGATATCCTCTTCTACAGTATACGAAGCATGCATACTTGTATCCTCAAATGAGCTTACAAAATCATTTGCTCTGTTAACGACAAAGTAACACATCACACTAAGCACTGCTGAAAAGCACAATGCCTATGATGTGGTACAGGACATTTTCAGTACTAAATTATAACCAGAAGACATGGCTTGGGCTGTGGGATGTTCAGGTTGAGAAAGTTTATAAAAAAAACCCAAACTTCAGACACTTGCAGCTAGAGTCATTTTGACAAATAAACAATACAATAATCACCAGTAAAGTTTTCTCTCTTAAAGTGTTTCTACTAAGGAAGGATTCTAATGAGCAATTTGTATTTAAAGCACACTGTCTTATGAGGATGGACAAGGGCCAAGAAATCAAGCAAACTGGTGATGTCCATTAGCCACCTGGAAAACGAAAATCCTTTGCTCTCACTCTGCTAGCATTTTGATTCAAGTCAAAAGTCAAAATAGTTCCATAAAGGAAGATGCTGGAATTTTTTGGATGCAAGCTTCTCTGACAGACATCAAGAGAAGAGAGGAAAGGAGTTGTTTCAGCCTGGGCACTCTAAACACTTTGCTCTCCCTTCTCGAGGTATGCGATCCCTTCTTACTCCAACAGGAGCCAGTTTCACTATGCATACCTACCCCACCCAAAATTCAACAATAGCATAAAAAATGTCCAGAAGTGATCTTGTTATTAGTTGCCATCATTTCACATGCTTATTATGATGACACACAAAAACTCTGGTGCACACAGAAAAAAAGTAAAATATTGTGCCTTACAAACAACAGATCACAAGCTGTCTTCAGTAGGTTCTGCAACATTAAGAAATGTGCAGCAAGATTTATGTACACCCACGAGTGTCAACAAATTCTAGATGTGTAGAAAGCTATATATTATACAAATAGAGGTTCATACAGCGAATTCAGATTATAACCATCATAAGGGGTTTCCTGTGAGTTATAGCATTTACAGCTGTGAGTTAAAGCATTTACAGCACCTTACCTACCAAGCAAAGTTAGTTTGGTTTCAAGCCGGATGGCGGATTCCAGCAGCAGCTCCTCCCTATTGTCAATGCTGGTTTCTGCTAAAAAATGATTATTTAACCACTCTGTATATTCTTCATCACTCATCACCTGCAGAGGGAGAGAAAACACAGATGTGTCTAGATTTCACTTCAAATGTACTACAAGAGCATCTCTCAGAGCCATCTCTGCTATCCGTATACTAAACCTTTTGCAGCCCTGCCAGAGCAGTTATATGTGTACCCTGGTATGTCTACAGACTTAGTATGATTCACAGGTCAGGCTGCTAACCAAAAGCTTGCAGGCACCTGGAGTTGCCTGATATATTTTCATTTATATGGAAGGCAAGGAGGCCAAAGAACATAATAACCTCTTTACTGTTCTTTAAGGCAAGGAGGCCAAAGAACATAATAACCTCTTTACTGTTCTTTAAGGCAAGGAGGCCAAAGAACATAATAACCTCTTTACTGTTCTTTAATACCTCATAGACACAGGCACAGAATCACTGCACAGCTTGGTACAGCTTGATGCCTGTACAGTTACACAGCCCATGCTTTCACTTTGCATGAGAGTTTCCTTTCCTGTTTCAGTTGTTACGGAATTTTACTTCTGATCAGTTTTGAATTTATAATGGAATCTCATAACATCACATAGTTTTGCCTACAAATCCTATAACACCACAGACAGTGCGAGACCCAATAAGACAGGCCTGACTACATTTGTTTTCTGTATCCAGAAAAAAATTCCAACCAGGGCAAGGTTCACATGAGGAGAGCCACTCAGGACTCATGTAAGAAAATCAGGACATTTTACATCCCTTGTTCTAGAATTAGGCTATTAAAACTGTCTGGCATCCTAAAGTGACAACAGGTATGTGAATCTAACTGAAGACAGAATTTTTTTTTGTGTAAATGTACAAATTCCTCCTGAAAAAAAGTAAGGATAAATGAAATGTGGCAATGAGAACATCTAGTCTATAAGTGGTTATATCTGTTCCATTGGAAAAAAAACTCCTGCTCATCATTGACTGTAAACATTCTTAAAAGTACACATAAAAAAACCCACCTTTTTAGCAATACAAAGAGTGCGCAGTCCCTTTCTGGCATAGTCATCCAGATGATTCTGGGTTCTTTCTTTAATGTTCTTCTTTTCCACTTCTGAATTCTTGGTATCTACCATTATATAAAAAGTAAAGTAAATTAAATATTCAGTCTTAGAGTAAATTTACTGGAAAATTTTGAAGGTCTAAATATAGTTTAAAAATCCCAAAATATTTAAAGGTTTTATTTTAACTCTGAACATACCTTCACGTTTGCACAGTGTACCGTGGCTGTATCTTTAGAATGCATGGAGAGGGTCAGTCTGCACAAGCAGTGAGGGGAACCAGTCTGGCACTCATATATGCTTTCATATATACTAGCATATCAAAGTGTCTTTCTAACATGAAATCACCTTCTAAAATGAATTGGGCCACAAGACATCAAAGTAGCTTTGTTCTCTCTGATACACTGGGAGGGAGCCAGAAGGGCTACCACAGAAAAGCTGTTTTTTTTTTTTTTTTTTTTTTTTTTTGTTTTGTTTTGTTTTTAATCATTAATGCATGGACTATTCAGAGAGGTGATTAACTCATCTAACTTCAGACATGTAGAAGTTAGATTGCAAGTTTACCCTGAGAGCCAAAGTAAGGAGAGGTATCTCCAGACATGAAATTATGCCCCATAGACAGACTTTAGAGGCTCCTTTTCTACCTCACTGCCTACAGAGGCTTTCCGTCTAGACCTTACTTGGCTAGTGCTGGGCTAAAATATGCTTGTGGAACAGTACACATCCCACTTCCTCACTGAGATAAACCACAGAACATGAAAACTAAGTTCTACCTTGCAGATAGTAAACCTGTAAACTCCATTACCTTCCCAACCATTAAAAAAGACCCCGTGACATCTGACCTTAAATATATGCAGGGACATGTTTCTTACACGCACAGATAACATGCCTTCAGTTATAAATCAATGACTGCCTGATACAGCGTATGAATAAATCACGATTAGTGCTTAAGTAACACAGCATGTTCCTTCTGTAGCAGATTCCAAGAACCTTTACCCAAAGACAACAGCACCCAGCAGGAGGCAGCACACAATTTTGCAGGCACAGGATATTATTAACACATCTAGAAACACAGAAATAGTTGATAATCCAGAAAAAATAAGAACAGACAAAAAGCAATGAAAGTATCTCATCCCAATAAACACCTCTCACAGCACAGCAGGAGACAACTATTTCAGCAGACAACCTTATTTTATGACTGGAAATACTACAGTTGGCTCCAAGAGGTCTGCTTAGACACCACAAAATCTCTGAATTACTGCTAGCTTTCTGTTCTCAGTTTCCAGAATGGCATACAGCACAGCCATATGTAGGTGAGAAGCTGCAATACCTTTATGGGTTTTCCTAAAAGCAACTCAGAGATAGTAGTTCTGCTTGGTTACTCGGCTATTCTTACAAATCAGGGCATGCAGTCAACTATACCGAAGAATGATAAAGGTGAACAAAGAATTAAAAGTTCGACAAATACCTTCAGATGCAGTTCCCAACAAATCCATCATGACTGAGTCTGCACCTTTCGTGTACACCACCACTCGGTTGGAGACTGGATGCCGAACCACTACTGACATCCTTTTTCGCACTGAGTCAAAAGGCAGGATATGCAAAAGCTGAAATGTTAAAGATCCCAGATCTGCAAAATCCACAGTTACTTGATCAGGAGTCCTAGACTGTAAAATACATTTATAAGCCTTAGCAGCATGGACCAAGGCAGCTTCGTCTGGACTTTCAGCTTCATAACAAAGCTTAGGTAAGGGAGACCATTCAGCAGACGACTCAGCACTGTGGGTTTCACAGCCAGCAGCTACATTCACTGTATAACATTCTTTGGGTAACTGGGGATTTTCTGGGCTGTTCAGATTGTGAGGCTCAGCAGCATTTTGAGCAGCCCCATCCAAAGCAGGTGAAGCCGGTTTCATTCTGAAAATAGACAGTTTGCTCACAAAACTGTTTGGGTTTTCAGATGATGACTCTTTTATACTTGGAAGTGGGGACGAACTTAGTCTACGGACTGACAACCTCTGGAACATCTGCCTGATTTCCTCAAGGGATTTAATAGGCATTCTTCCCAGTGAAGAGCGTCTCATCTGCAACAGAACAGTCAGAGAAAGTATAAAGTCTTCATATGTTATTTAATTAAAGAAAGACAGCTTACAAACCACGCATGTTTCTTAATGAAAATTTGAAAAGTTATGATCATTTTGATCACTTGTATTAAAAATAGCCAGCTCAATTAAACATATTACCATATAAGTACACCAAACAGCTCTGTGAGAGCTTCACCTGTTCAAATCACACAAATTGTAAAAAGTACTTCAGATCTGAAAACTGCATGTATTGCCAGTTTGATTCATGACTCCATGTAATAATTTTTTCTAGAAATGTCTAAGCAATGGAACTTTTAGAAGTTGTGGTGAATGGAATTAGATACTTGTTCTCAATTGGCAAGATAGCTGCAGAGAATAAACCAGCTCCTTACTTCTTACAGTGACTAGCTACTAGTAATGCTAAAAATACAGTACTTCACCAAAACTTTTTTGGTCAGAATTGAAAACAAAAGACAAGCACTCTCAAGAATCAAGAAATGAAAGATTCCTGCTTCAATTCTATCCCAGTTGCATGCAAGTTGTAACGTGTCTCTTTATTCAGCATCACAGAGACACCGACTAGGAACATTCCTTCACCTTCTCTCCCTAAGGAAACACTGAAAACTTCTTGCCTTTGTCATTATCATTCCCCAACTGAACTCATAATCCTTATGCCATATATTGCTCCTTCCAACCCAGCTACTACTGACTTGGACATCTCCTCTTCTAAAAGTCATCCAGAAATATTATTCTCTAAGAAATGAAAAACTCACAGGTGGAGGTTAGTATTTACTAATGCAGATGCCCCATCCATGTGTTCACAGCAGGCAGCCTACTATGTGGACTTGTCTGGAAGGACACTATAACAACAGACATTTTATATATTTGTGGTACTTTATTCTCCACAGGGTACCTTATGGAAACATCTCCAGCCATACATGTACATGCACTACCTTACTTAAGCACCAAAAACTATTCCTGTACATAACACAATTTTTTTAACTTTTTTTTTCAAAAGGTGAAGTCAACAAATCTTAATCACTTTTGTGGGGAGAAAAATCAATGCTGAACTCTGGGATTATCCTGCCACACAATCAAATTAGGTAGAAGATGGGTTTATGAAAATCCCACCTTGAAAAAAAGTCAACTGATTTTAAAATGAAAGCAATATCTTTAAATAAATAATAAATACTAGATGCGTGCTCTGAAAATAAGGAGTGGTTTCAGGGAAACATTAAAAGTCTCTTGATTATTAAACCAGGACAGTCTAACAAATGCACTGTACATTGAAGATGAGACCACCTTATACTAACCATATTGCCAAGCATTTTTTTTCTTCAAATTATTACACACATTGAACTTGATCCTCCATACTCTTTCTGGAATTCTATTTGAATATAGTCAAGTAACAGGTAAGAGCTTTTTCAGTTCCAGTATTTTAGAAGTCTTCCAAGATTATTCATATTTTTTAGCGAACAATAACTTATTTGTAAAGGTAACTTGAGTGTTAGGGCACTCTTAAAGGAAGCTGTGCACATATCTGGTAAATGATAATAGAATACAGCAAAAAAACCCAACAACCCATAACTGCAGTTTAATCTCAAAATATATATTGTGAAAGTTAAGAAGCACCAAACTTACGGGTTCAGATCCTGAATACCAGTTATTTTTTTCTCCTTTTGCAATCAAACTAAAGGAAACTTGTTTATAAATAGTTGATACAGACAAATATAATATCTTCTTACCTTCTGACGTGGCTGATTGGGGATTGAAACAACAACAGTATTACAGATTGCCAGAGCAAGAAAGAAGTCAGTGATATACATTGTCTCCAAACCTAACTTGCTGATACCTTCTTCTGATTCTTGATAGGAAAGAGAAGAAACACGTCTAAATTTCTCCAGCAGTTGTGTATCTGGTACAACATCTGTTTCCTATGGATTAAACAAACAAAGCTGTGAATTAGGATATAAACCCTGGCAATCCCAAATGGATTTCCAGTTCATACCATTTCAGAGTCGCAAGTTGATTCCAGACTTATTTTATATATAGAGCTCATACATGAGGAGAAAATAATCATTCCCCAGACGCTGCTACCAGAGACTTGAGAAATTAATGGCAGAAAATTGCAAAATAGTCTAGGTCTCTGGCAGTAAAATCAGATACAGATGTTTTTAATCCTAGTAATCTCCACTAAATGCAATAGGATTAATATTGTTTATCTACATATTTCCTATTGAAAGCAAAGTAAAATGCTTTTTAAGGCAAAGGAACAAACTTTTATTGAAAATAAAGCCTGTCATTTAAGCAGAGTGATCATGAAATCACACCAGCAAGATCCAAACAACACATCTTTGTAATCCAATAAATATCTGCAACATCAGCTTGCAAGTAGGCTGCACCCAAGCAACAATGGAAGGTCTAATTTTGATGGAAGACAAAGAATGTCTTAAATTTCAAGCACTCTTAATTATTAAAATGGGAGTAAAAAGATGTTCCTTCACTAGTTACTTCAAAAATTCATTACCAAAACTAATAACTTTTACTTACAATGCAGCTGCTGAAAGCAACATGTCCTGAGCAGGGAGCATCACCTGATGAATGCTCCCTTCCTAATTCAGGATAAATACCAGATAACAGATTTGAAGACTTTCTGTTCAAAGATTCATTCTCGGCTCCACAATCGTGTCCCCTCCATTTTAATGTGTGGCCCAAAGAGGCACAAGGACCTTCAGCTGAATCCTCATCTTTCAAATCCTTCTCTTGATAGGATTCCAACCTCTTTGCTAAAGAAATAAAATTATTATTCTGTAAGCAAAAAGAAATTTGTCTAAAATAAAACTTAATTTAAAATAAGGAATTTAGTATCCAATTAAGTAAAATCCACTCTTTCTAAAATATCAAACCATAATAAGTTATCACACTGACTTGCCATTTGCGACGCTGCTCTTCAAAAGTGCTGCTCTCCTGGAGAGAATCCAGAAGAGAGAGAAAGAACAATCACAGAAACACTATAGTAAGCTGGTTACAAAGCTTTTAGAAGAGAACATTGCTGAGAACCGAATAACAGCTTTCAAGTACAAAAAGTGGAATTGCACAGAAAAAGGAATTAATCTGTTTTCTTGGCACACTGTAGGTAATAGGAGACACAATATTTCTATGCTGTGATAAGACAGATTAGATAACAGAAAATCTTTGTCCAACAAGACATGAAACACTAGAACAAAATACACAAGAAGGTAGTGAACTGGCCAACAACAGAAGTTCTGAAAACACATTAAAAAATTCAAAAAGACAGCAGTATGTCTGCACAGCCAGATCTAGACAACACACATCTATTCCACTTATGCTCCCTGCCTGCCAAGGAGATACACCCTGGCTGAAGTAACATAGGTGGCACCTCCTGTAATACCACAGTGCTCTGCTGACACAGCCTAAAAAGCACAAGTTGATTTAGATATAGCACTGCATATGGACACCTACATAGAGGATTTTACTACAACGGAGTAAAATCTCTGTTGTCCTTTGTTCTGGGCAACAGAGATACAAATACAGAAATATACATACAGACTAAGTGAGTCATATGCAAAAGGCTGAACTGCTTTGTAGTGCATCTCTTACTGCATGCAGTAGGAGCCAGCCAAATGGCAACTTTGTGCAACTGACCAAAGGAAAATTAGTGTTAAACATAGGACCTCCAACATTTTTCAGATTGATTTTCAGGGCACACAATTTCTAGATTTGTTAGGAAGGACATGCTTTATCTCCAAATAAAAGCCAGGGTACAATAGGAAATAATTATAAACATAATTAACACACTGATACTACTGGAAGAAAAGTGAATTCTTAGGGAAGTAAGTAATAGAAGTAAGTGGCAGACATATGCCAAGAACAAAGAGATCAGTCACAACTCATCTCTTCTGAAACACTTTTCATTTCTTGAAGAAGTGCTCTGAAAATATATTCTACTTTTTAATTTAACTTATTCATTCATCAAATTCTAAATTTAAAACATATTTCTTTTCACTTTGCTCTTGTGATATCCTCCTTCCCAGTATAATTACACAAAGCCAAAGAACCATTGTGACACCTACATCACATGATTTTCAAAATATATGAAGAAATTGCTGTTAAAGTGATTTATAACCATCAGTTGCTGTGACTGTGAACAAAAGAAGAACCCATGCACTCTGAGACCAGCAGGGTGTGCCCGTTGCTTGCAGAAACTGAGCAGTTCCATCTGGCAGCAAAACCACGGCGAGTGGTTAATACATAGTTGTAATTGGTCTATCCACCTATCAGCACTTCATCTTTGATTTTTCCCAGTGAAAGAGCAAATGTATGCAGTTAACATACAGCAATAATAATAAAATCTCTGTGTTTTTATCTAGTTAATAAAATAGGTAGCTGAATCAAACACTTTATGTAACTATGTCAGAAAGTAAAGAGCGTTCTGTGTTTGGTCTCAAATATGCACAGGCTTAACTATCTGTGAAGTAGCACCTCACATACAATTTCAAGTCTCTGTATGCTGCACATGAAGTGATCCAAATGGGGAAAGATCCAAATAAGACCAGACTAAATCCACACCTTCTGTAAGTACACATTGCCACACAAACCTCAGAAACACCCGTCTTCATCACAACTTGAAGTTTCTCTGAGAATGGGAAAAGGACTACCACAAGCATGTATTTAGCACCTTACCATTTTCTTCATGGCAATACTCCTGTCCTGCAATGCTGCACCTCCGAAAAACCATCTTATTTTCAGTGAGTGTTCCAGTCTTGTCTGAGAAGATATACTGAATCTGGCCAAGGTCTTCAGCAATATTCAATGCTCGACACTGAATTGTAGAGTCTGTTTTCTCATGGTAAAAATCAATGTCATTCTGTATTAAATAAATTTGTCCCAGTTTGACAATTTCAATTGAAACATACAGAGAAATAGGAATCAAGACCTATTGAAACAAAACACAAAGATTAAAAGAGACCAAACTCTTTAGCCACATGCAAACATGAGTTAACTCTTCTGAAACCAGAGTTACTTCAAGACATTAGTGAGATCAGAATATGGCTCAAAACAGACCAAAGTTACCTGTAATAAAATGATCATTGTCCAGAACATATTGAACCCTGCTAACACAGAAGAAATCAATTTGCCATCTGGTTCAGGGATGTTAAAAAAAGGTATTTCTGAATACCTACTTAACCAAATTCCATGGCCTAGAAAATAAGAACAACTGAATCAGTTAGGTTGACTGTATAACAGTTTAGGTATTTCTAAGCTTCCAGAGAAGAATTTTCATCAATAGGAGCCCCACTAAAATGCATGAAGTATCAATGCGCACACTTGAAAAAATGTTTTACTGCAGTTGTGTCAATAGTACATCTATGCAACCCATCTCAAAACTAATGGAATACTAGCTATGTTTCATTCTCTTTTTCCTACCCTAAACTCTAGTTATTAAATTTCTGATCTTTGCTTTTCCACCTTTCAGCTGTGGTATGTCATGAAGCCACTCTGGTCACTTTACAGCACTGTGAGACAAATACTGTCACAGAAAAGAAATAGTATAAATCACAAACCCAGTTTTTGTTTATGTTTATGTTTAAGCCATATTGTGATGCCAGACATGTCTATTTAGTGTAAGTTGACAAAGTTTTTTAAACACCTTTTAAGCACTCATTTGGTTCATTGTAAAATGTATTCTTTTTGAACTTTAGTACTCAAGCTCACTATTTCATAAAACCATAAAATAGAAAGTCCTTATTACTACTCAAACTAGGCGTCTCCCTGCAATACTGTACAAGCATTTCATTTTACCTCAACCAAACTAACACAAACCACAAATGTTAGAGTGCAATTAGTGAGAGAAATGAGAAAATCAATTGGAAAAGCAGGTTTTAGACTTAAGAACTCACACTAGGAACATACCCACTGACCAATTACTGATTAAACATGACAACATAAACTAAAACTTGGCAGCATCCCCTGCTGATAAAGAATTAGATATGGAGAAAGGCAGTTTCTGAAATAGGCTACTGAAATGAATTGGCCCCAAATTAAAACACCAAAGCGGAGAGGGGAAAGCAGTAGGAGTTTACACATTCACACTTACCAATTGCACCTGTTAAACACATTAAAATTAGAAGCAGAACACACCACAGAATATCAGAATTCACTTTTCTTTCCAATTTACTGCGCTTGTAATGAGGTCCACTGTTATTCAGCATGGCTTTGGTTTCATGACCTGTAATCACAACAAAGGTTGAAATTCTCTATTTGCAAGTATGAAAATCAAAAGTCCTTTATATTTCTAAAGCTCTGGGAAATTGGACATTACTGTTAACTAATATGTGAAAACTAACTGCTCCTAAAGTAGTAGTCTTAAAGAAAACTAAAAAAGCTAAACCATAATTGCTCAGCCATATATTATCTTTTATATTGTAAATAATATTCCTATTATATTCCTTCCTGAAGGTTTTGATACAGTCTCTAATATTTTCTACAAAATTCTGCACCTGCATTACAATTATCTGCCTGAATACATTATAATGTCTAGTCTTAAAACTTCAGCACTTCGACTTTAGAACAACATTAACTTCAATTCTGGACCAGAGAAAGTCCTAACAAAGGCAGCTATCCCCACTTTCATTTCAAAACCTTGATTTGTCATTGTAGTTAACAATTGAAGACCTGTACACAGAACAGAGCAGGCTTCCCATGAATAATCAGACATACCAACCTTTAACATTTTTAAAACCAAAACAAACAGCTCAGATTTGCATTCTTAATGCTTCAACCTAAGGCTGCCTTCTGCTGGTTTCAATCTTTTAATTGTCTACTTTGCCTCTGTGCAATATTGCTTCTTAAGGCACATAATTCCATCTTCTTTGCAAAGGCAATCTGAGAAGGCCAGGGTGGTTCACTAACCTGCATATACCACAATGCCTACAACAGCTTCTGTATTTCTTACTGTGCATCCTCGCAGCAGTAAGTTCTCCTTGCTGAGGCCCACTCGATCCTTGCTTGAATTCTCACTGGAAAAAAAAAACAGAACACATTAATTTGCACATTAATTTGGCTGCAGAACTTCAGCAATTACCAGTCAGGTTTTGAAAAAGCGTTAGGGAGCAAATTGCCAAGAGAAGCTACCTGTCACAGACTACCTCACTGATGCTTCTGATTGGACTTTTCAAAGGAAGAGAGTAACATACATGCAAGATCACCTCCAAAATTCTAGGCATCTGGGCACTGCATTAAAATGTTCACGTGCATGGCATCTGCCATGTTGGCATTTGAGGAACAGGCAACCCTGCTGAAATGAGCGCAGGGCAAATACAGTCTGAAAGCAGATGACTTCTATTTGGATGGCCAGCATTAGAAAAAAATTTTAAAAAATTATAAATCCCATTTCAAAAGTACTGTGAGCGCTCTTATCTGTGCCGTATTTTCAATGTAGATAAGCCATGTTTGTCAAGACTTTTCCTCGGAGAAAGATAAATAAAAGCATTTCATTTTCTCTTCATATTTCTAACATGCCATTGCCCACAGGGAAGAATGTGGACATTATACATCTAAAAAAATGAAAATTAACCACTCAATGAAATATTATTTTATTTTCCTACTGGCCACACAAAAGTACAGACCTTGACAAGAAAATAGACGTAAGGTAACACAGTTTTATATAAATGGCTGAGAGTTACACAGAACATATGAGAGTAGGAGGGGAAGCCAGATCTTCCTGTTTCAAACTCTGACCAAAGCAGCCATGGTCCAGACTGAAATCTGTACTGATATCATATGTCATTAACAGCAGATCAAAGGCAGCCATTTCAAATGTGGTAGATATAGTTGCAAAACAGCCTGAACTAAGATGCTGAAAATATTTAATATAAAATATAAAGTGCTAGTGGGCTTTCCCACTTCACAATCAGGTGTTTTCTGAAATTCCTTCTGGAGCTCTGCCTGCCTGGCTGCACTCAGAAATATAGTGCTGCACACTGACTTATGTACATATTGTCATTTTTTAAAGCAAACATTATAAGCCCTCTGAAAATTAGGAAGAACACCAAAGCAAATTACACCAGTTTAAAGAGCCACCAAGCGTACTTACACAAAGCCTCGAAAGTGATTGAGGTCATCATTAGGACTTTCACATTCTATTCTACCAGAAAATTTTTCTGGATCAATTTCAGAGATCTGAAATTATTTAGAAAAAAAAAAGAGAGAAAGAGAAACAAAAAAAAAAACCACAACTGAGACCAGGTATGATAGAACTTGGAAATTTCATAAATATCACTGTCAAACTATTTAACTCAACATTTAAAGTTGCTAATGATGTTGATGATCTACATGCAACCCACGTAAATCAGACTTATGCAGGATTTCCTAGTAAATATCAAACCCTAGCAAGTATCAGCTGAGAAACTGGTATCTTAGGAACACTTGTCTATTTCTCTAGGAAAGCGAAGATGGTTGGAAAAACTCTTCTATGCCTTGTTGTCTTTTGCTAGCTGTTGTTTATAAGCCTCTTGCAGTACCTTCTTAATTTCTTTCCTGTGGTCACTGAGGTACATACAGAAAAAAAAAAAGAATAAATCACGCTATTCTAAGATGACAAAAAATTAACTACGAGAGTTTCAGCTCCTCTTTTAGGCTCTAATGCTGCCTTGCCTTCCCAAGGGCAATAACAAGTGTCCTATTGAAGACATTTGTGCTTGTGTTTGTTCAGTCATAAAAATGCAGAATGTAATATTTTTGCATTATGTTACAACCTTTTTGTCTTCAAATGTTCTTTAATTTGATTTATGTTCTTCCTATTCTTTTGAGCTTGAGAAACTACGAAGTGAGACAGTCATACTCTGTCTACATACACAGCACTCCCACAGTCTTATTCAGCCTGAGTTTGAGAGGACAAAGTCTCTGTCTGGAACTGAGCTCTCAGGACACCAGAGATCTGTGAAGTTAACTACTATACAATCAGAAACTGTGCAGTCCTGAGAGGACACAACGATGGCCTTTTTTTTTTTTCCTTGGAGGGGAAAAATGAACAGTCTTTTATGGTGAAGAAATTGTCACTTTTTGGGACAGCATGACTATCTCATTCTAAAATCGAGAAAAAAAGAACGGGATAAAGAAAACCAGCTTTCTTTATGGTTAACAGATCATGCATTTGATATTACTCTGCTTATTAAGTAACAAACAAATCTAAATGAACAGCAAAGTACTCCTTCACACCTTCTCAGAACAATTCAAAAGCAGTTCAGATAATTTTATCTCCAGTCTCTTAACAGCACGTTTTTACGGATAACACTGAATCTCCCTGCTGTGGTGTCAGTGCAGTGCTTCCGTATCAGAACTCAGTTACCAGGTGTGCTAAAGACTGCACTAATTTCTGACCACTACTGTGAAAACTGTAAGACCTGATGATGTTCAGTCTTGAGAGGTATACATTAAAAAAAATCGTAAGAGTTCCAAAGGCTTTATAAATCCTTGAAGGTCTAGATTTGAAGCTAAAAATACAGTGAAAAAGAAGACATCTATTCCTCTCTGTTTTTATGTGGCACTGAACTCCCTTCAAAAAAAATTCTAATTTCAAAGCCACTAAATGCTATGTGTTATACATGACAACTGGACATTTACTTGAAAAGTTAGTTTTACTTCACTTGAAATAGAGCTCTCTTTCTCTGGGTTGAGTGAGCAGACAAAGATTTGCTGCAAAATAACAACAAAAAAATTAAAACTATATCACCTATTTATTCCATTTTCAGATGGGGATTGCTGAACAGTGGGCAATATAGAGGACTAAGGTTTTTATTGTTGACTGACAAATCAACTTTCTTAAACCACTGGAAATTCACAATTATCACCTGCTCTGAATATCCTCTCACCACCTGCCTCTGTTTTAGATTGGTTTCTCCATCAAGACCGGCAGTTTCAATGTAACAGATCCCATCCAGGTCACTGGAATATAACAGCACCATGTCAGCAGGAATAATTTCATTACACGAAAGCCGGATGAAGTCTCCAACATTGACATTTTTCCAGCATTCATCTATGTATTTCTTCTCTTTCCTGAAATGGATATAAATGCATTAGAACAACTGAAAAAAGGAAAAAAAAAAAAAAGAAAAAACCACCCCAAACTGAAAGCTCAAAGAAACAGATTGTACCTAGGAAATGACTCCTATACTGAACTTCTACTCCCAAGTCATTAAGAATTTTGATGCGACAGTCTGACAGCTCAAGGTGACTAACAAGGAATCTGTGGTGCTCAGGGACATGATCTAGCGGTGGGTTGTTAGAGTATGGTTAGGTTCAGATTGGACTTGATGATCTTCAAGGTCTTTTCCAACTTAAGCTATTCTATGATTCTATGATCAGCTCTGAGGTCCCAGACCTGTTTTGCTGGGAATTACATTCCTGTCACCCTCTCATAATTATGTTAGCCCAATTCAAAACTCACCCCCTTGATTCCTTTCACTATTCCAACATTTACCAGTGAGCAAAGAATATTCAGTAACTGCTTTACTAATGCTCCAAGCATAAATACTTGTATTTATAGCTTTTAAATATTTTCCCATTGTTTTTGAACATAAGGTACAAAGAACCTACAATACTCAAGAAAGCTGAAATTCTTTATTATTATGAAAAATACAGGCATGATATACAGAAATTTGTGCCTTCTTCAACTTTCCATTTCTATCTGCTTTTCCGTATTCAACAGAGACAAAGAATAGTCCTTTTTATTTAATTACAGCAGTTTATTGCAAGCACACTCAGGTTTAGAGTGGTGAATAGGCAGCAACAAAGGGAGATAGCAAGCAACAAAGAGCTAACTGGAGGCATACAATAGTAGGCCACTGAAATAGGGTTGCTGATACAAACACTGTACATGTCTGGATGCAGTACATTTTTGGTATTGTTACTACCCTTGTATAGCAGAAATGCTAAGTTACAGGTTGAAACAGTGATTGAGCACCTGGTGGGAAGGCAGGGCCAACCCAGAAGAGCCCAAGTGAATGCAATGCTCCTGAGTGACCGGAAATGGTGGAGTCAGGATTCACCCCCTCCCTGATCTCACTTAAGGGCTGGCAATGGAGACAACGGTATCTTGCTGAAAATTCCTATGTATATGAGGCCTTTTGAAGGTAAGTGGATTCTTTCCTTTGTTTCTGTGTCCACAGTTGCTGTGTTTGAGCACATCCTCATCTGCTGCAGCCTAGGACTTTGCTTCTATGCTGTCATTGCTATGTTTTCCATTGTCTTACATCTTGGTAATTGGCAGGTTTTAATATCTTTCACAGCCTAACCCCTAGAGCTATGTTTAAAGTGAGGAGAATGTACTCTTCACAGTCTTGGGAGCATCTTCATGTTGTGCATCCTTTTCTAAATCTCACTCTGGCTTACCTAGCTGAAAAGTGCAGTTGCACCAGGAAGCTGGGAAGTGCACCTAGCTTCCACAATACAGACTTAAGCTAACAAACTTTACAACATGGCAATTCTGTGCAGACTGATCTACCAGTTCTAATTGAAGTGTTAAGCTGGTGAAATGCTCTTGATGAAAAAAAAAAAATTAAAAAAACATTTCTTGTGTCAAGCTTTGTACCCATACCTTTCAGATCTGTGTTGCCTGACAATATCCTTTCAAAAATCCTTTTCTCCAATGAGATGGCACAAAGTCCACGTAATTAACCAATATATTGATAACAATATCCCTAGTGAAAATAAGGTAGAGTTGATTATATGGTTTTCCAAGTAAATGCAAAGCAAAAGCTGAGGTAAAATTAAACCAACCTCAGCCAAATATATGCTTCTCCTTGAGATGCTGTCACTAGCTATTCTGTAAGCATGGAAAACCATATCTACACTTTTTTTGTGTGTGTAGCCAATTCTCCCCACTAAGAGGCACAGTGAGTCCAAAGAGACAATGCTGACTGGAACAGAAAGCTCTGGTTACTCCGCAACACCACTCTTTTATTGCATCCCCTAGATGCTACAGAAAGGATTTGGGAACTTCTGATAGCAGCAAGAAAAAATTACGTTCACAGCTTGCTTGCATCTAGAAAAGTTACAGTAAGGATGGTGAACAAAAGGCAAAGTAAGTTCATAAACAAAGAAAGCAATGACATCACTGTGTTTTAAGATAAAATCTCAGCTTAAAAGCTGTAGATTTTGGGTCTGATTGCTACAGGCATTTTTCAAGTGATTAAGCCTTAGAATTTGATAAACTATAAAACTATTTGGAGATAAAGATTTAGTAACAAAGCAGCACTTCTATTTACCCTTGAAGTGATTATTTACTAGAGCTTAGTAAAGGGGAAAAACACTAGTGCATGTTTACACTTTTTTTGTAACTACTATGTATTTCACTGAGAACTGCAAAAGCCTCTCCACTGCCAGTGTTGAGATGAACCCTCAGCAGACAGCAACAATTTCTCTTCATAATCACCATCTATTAAGTAAATGTGGAATTGAAAGTATGCAATGATTTTTCTGTTATTTTTACTTGATATACTTACTTTCCCATGCAATTTTCCCCAATATATACTTACTTTCCCATGAAATTTTCCCCAGAAAATGTAGCCTCAATCTCTGCATACGAAAGGCTAAGTACAGTAATACTGATACATTCAATGGGTGAATTCCAGGCTTGGGAATAAAACTATAAAAAGCAGCAAGCCAAAACTCTGAAACTATGGATGTCACTCATTTGTTATAAGCCAGAAAAAATAAGGGGGAAAAATCAAGTCCAACTTATCTAAAAAGTGCAAAAAACTAGTATCTAGCTGCTTGGGTAGATCTATCAAGGCGCTAAGACAGGCCTGTTTTGTCATGGACAAGAGAGAATGGTGAAACCAGTTTCTATTACAAACATGTTTTATAGAAGCAGTAAGGGATTGTTGCTTAAAAAAAGTTAATTCATAATAAAGAAGTTCAGAAAGAAAAGTTAGAAGCGCTAGCAACAGGAAGACATTTTTACTGTTTACTAATACAGAAACTAATTATTATACTTGTTTGGGGAAGGAATCAAGATAGAAAAGATCAGAAATTAATTCCCTTTCATTGACACTGATGAGACTGCAAATAACAAACAGTAGTCATTAATGTGTAGTGGATGGCTCTGTTTTCTGGCAGTGAATTATTTCAGAGTATACTGCAATTCATATCAGAAATTATCTGACTTGTCCCCTAATCTTCTCTGCAGACATGAAAAAGAAAAATATCTTACCAACTCAATTACTTTATTGTTTTAAGCTCAAATTTTTTATAGTCTGAATAAAATATTTCCAGGAAAGCTGCTATATCAGGTATTTGTGTTTGCAGCACATGAAGTTGTGTGCTCAATGGCTCAATGTCCTGGCAGGGAACAGTGATATGCAGTGTCTCTCAGGCATCTGTATTCAGATCAGTGCTGTTTAATACCTTCATTGTCTACAGAGATATTGAGATTGAGAGGACTCCTCAACAAGTATCCAGATGGCACCAAACTGAGTGGTGATTTGACACTTCAAATGGAAAGAAAGAATGCTATCCTGAAACATGTGATGAAGTGTGAGAAGTGGACATGTGTGAACCTCATAAAGTTCAACAAGGCCAAGTGCAAAGCCCTGCACCTGGACTAGGGCAATCCAAAACATCAGTACAGACTGGCTGCTGCATGGATTGGGAACAGCCCTTGAAGAAGGACTTGGCATGTAAAGGTGGATGAAAAACTTGCAGCCAAAATCATATCCCGGGCTGCATAAAAAGAAATGTAGCTAGGAAGTCAAGTGAAGTCATTCTCCCACTCTACTCTATCCTTGTGAGATCACACCTGTAATACTGCATCGGAAAATGTTCTTATTTCCTTCATGGAAATTACATTAGGAGTACCGAGTTACAACACTGATAGCTTTTATGACTTTCACCACTGTAATGATGAAATAGTAATCACTGAATTTCAATGATGCCAAAACAATTTTAAGATATTAAGAATAATACTAAAATTTCCTTGGTTAATGCTGTGCAGACTCGCACATGAAAGCTCTGGCATCCACAAAAGAACAGTTTTTTCAGCAATTTTTATGCTAATTTGATATTCGTTTAGCTGAACAAGTGATCGAGACTCAACTAGAGAACTTCCTGAGTGTATACTAACTGTTGATCACGAGGCAAGCAATGAGTCAGCCATAGGAGCACAGGTGAAGGCAATTCACCTGTGCTACTGGAATGGGTGGAGCCTGGCTCCATCTCTTGTAGACCCCTTTTAAGTGTTGACTGCTACTGAGAAAGGGTCTCTTTCTGGAGATTGCACCTTGGGGAGTTTACTGTGAGCCTAGGACACTGGTGAGCATTTCCATTTATTTTGATTATCTTTCCACTGTGATAATCTTACAAACCTAACCTCTGCACACTTATTGATTGTATACCTATTAATTGTACACTGAGCAATTTGATCTAGTAAGGCATGCTTTGAGCAGTGTGTGAGACTATAGAGATGACTTTCAGAGTCCTCTTCCAACTGAAGTTATTCTCTTTCTTTATGTGTATTCAGAGAGTAAACCAGAAGAATCAATTTAATAACAATTATCCAGGAAGAATGTTGTCTCTTACCGGCTATACACTTTGGTTAGTAAGTTGTTTATCTGCTTATCCATTTTATATTTTGAGTAATCTTCCAGACCATCCTTCAGGGCAATTATTGTTAAAACTGCTATCAAAGGTAGCATTGTAATTTCTTTTTGGAAAGCCTCCACCAGGGGAACCCAGTTTAAAATAACCAGAAACAGGAAATACAAATTGGCAACTCTGAAACAAAGAGCAAACATAAGAGTTAACTGTGCTACCAGCCTTTCTAATTCCCCCACTCCATGCTGTAGAGAGACTACTTATGTAAGAAGAAATTGCAGTAGGAGCTAAGAAAAAATAAAGAACTAAGTATCTGTGACGCCATTTTCCTCTCTTCAGTCAAATACATTAGTTGGCTGAATGGCTGATTAATACTCATGATAAGAAGGTGCAAGCAAGAATTTTACTGTAATTCCAACCTTGCCTTCCAGGCATGTCTTCCGCAGTGAGGCTATGGTGAACTTCTAGATAAGACATTTTTAAGTGAGCCATTCTTTATAAACCTACAGTTATCCAAGCAGGAGGATGGAGGGTAAAAAATAAGAGATAAGATGTGAGGGAAGGAAATCAATTGAAAAATTGAAGTGCTCCAATAGTAAATAATATTTTAATCTAAGGAGTAAAATTAGTGGAAATAAAAAAGTTTTGAAGAAAGGATTAGTCCAAGGTTGATATTCAATCTTTGGACAAATAACACAGACCTTTTCAGAAGTGATAGGCAGAAGTGATTGGAAAAATACATATTCATACACAAATAAAAAGAATCCACTTTAGACGAATTTCCACAAACAAAAATAGTTAATTACCTGTGAAATTGTTCAAATAAATTGCGTGGTATAAAATTCAGTAAAGTATATTTAGTAGTCCGTATTTTGTTGTTCATATACAGTTTTGATACCTTTTCATACTCTTCCTTAAAATGTCCCAAGCAGGGTATCACTATCCTATGTTTGCCAATAGTTTTTTTTGCTTGACAGCAGTTGTTACTTGAGCTGCTGCCTTCTTGTCTGCCTTCTGTAGACATCAGTTGCTGCCAACGATACCGGGTCCAGTGGATGGGATCTGCCATTGCACCCTACGTGCCTTATAATCCAAGGAATGTCCTCAACCTAGAGAGAAGTTAAATACAGCAAGTTAAGCAGTAATTCTGTAAAGGCTTATTTAACTAAGAAGTTCCAGATACAGGTCTGAATAAGCCCAGGGAAAAGACCATTCCCACATTCAGATCAGGAAAAGAACATTTAATGATGTCAGGTTCCTCTTCAAAGGCTGTAGTTATCCAAATTTTATCAGCATCCTGCAGTTTGATTACTCTGTTTAAAATGCACAATAGCTTTCTAATTGTTTATTAAAAAACAAATCTGATTCCATTATTCTGTCACTGATCTACAGATCTATCTTTTCTAGTAGATCAGTTTCATTTTGCTATACTTTAAATAACAGGAAAATATCAACACAGTTTAAATTTATACCAATTTCTTAATTTGTGTGTAAAGCACACATCAAATTAGTACTTGAAAAATCCAAATGAAAATGCTTTGAAGAAGTATATAACGACTGTTGCAAAATAAGTGATGTTTTTTAATTTTACACATGAAATTAGGTCTGGATAAAATGCCTAGTTTAGAGAAAGAAAGCAAGCTTTAATAGCAATCCGTGATTTGATGGATTCTTCAATCTTCTAGAAGTCCCTTCTTAGGCAACAGACTGCTCAGCCATTTTTACTAATCTCATGCCAGCATACTACATAATAGTAATGCCTCATACAGGCTGAGGAGTCTGTAGGTTCCCTGAGGTCCACAGCAAAAAAGAGAATCCAGCAATTAAGAGCTGTTCTGGGACTGTACTATTGCTTCCTGTATATAACACAAGATTTGTTTACATGAGTAAACTTTAAATATCCCCTGCGCTGGATTATCAGGGAGCATCTCAACAAGATTTCTTCTTGTCCTGTTAAGTTTCTGTCTCTTCCAAGCACCCACTGTTAGAAGGTATGTCAATTAACCATGCTTTTGCTTGACATAATTTTCACCCCAAAGCAGTAACCTAACATAGCTCTGCAGACTGTTATAATGTAAAATATCCTCACTGAAAACCTATTTAAGTATACAACAGAAAAATTTTTCAAGATGCCATATCAGCCAAGAGTTTGTAAGCAAGATATATTTTAGAGAACAATCATGCTTGCTTTCATATAAGACTAAACTTAACCATTTCATGCTGGTAACTTCTGTGACTAGAAGAATCAACAAATAAACAAACTCTTTGACTCAGAAGGAATGTGGGAATGCAAAGTCTTTAAATGGCAAATCCTGCTCAGTCTTAAAATTACATAGGCAAAAGCACCTTTAAAAGCTGAAGAATCAAGTTATCAGTAACATGCAAACAAAGACTGGAAGTTGAGAGTTAGGAAAAACAAAAAAGAAAAGCTGACAAATCTCAAAACCTCTTGAACACAGGAAGTAAACTTTGTTTTTTAAAAATACATGTATTACTTTTTGTAGCACGTGATACCTGGTGGCCTTTGCTTAACAAACAAAGGTAAGAAAAAAAAAAAAAACAAAACCAGAAATTCTAAAGTAACAGTGTGGTAGGACAGAATTCCTCACCACTGGATCTGGAGTCACAGGTTTGAACTGTACATGCAGTGGTGCTGAATAGCAGTCACCTCTCACTGCACACACATCCCTGACACAGCTCCAAAACCTCTGCCCCACCCTTCCTCATCCTCCTTTTCAGAGGCAGAACTTCAAAGGAAGCAAGAAACCTAAGATTCAACAGCACTTGCTGCGTAGATCCATGAATAGCTCTGGTATTTTATTTTTTAAGAAAATTTTGAAGGAGATTGTATGGACAGTAACTAAAACAAAAACACCACTGCATCATGTTGGAAACTAGGAGGTCACTCACTGCCTCTCCTATAGTCAAAAAAGTGAATCAGGCAATTAAACTGCATCTTTAGGGAAAAAAAAAAAAAAGCACTGGGATCTTATACTCTGTCACAACACCCTTTGACTCACCTAGGATTTGACTGAGTTAGTACTTGCAAATGTTTTTTTTTTTTTTTTTTAAAAGTATTTGTATTTCCATTTTAAAACAGGATTTATAAGACTGAAAACTTTTAAATCTCTATTTTTTCTTTATGTTGCATGTTTTTCTTCTTTCTCCTTGAACTGTGATATAAAGTAATGAGCACCTTTTCTTTGGCCAGCTCTAAGTTCAGAAAAGATTCATCAACTTCATGTGAGATACCGAAAAGGGTGAAGTTGCTGACGGCTGTTTTAAACAATTTTTAGCAGAAAATCCCTTCTCAAAACATGATTTGATCTTCCCATCCTGTCATTTTTTTTTTTTTTTATCTTCCATTCTCCAGCCTAACTTAGAGCATTAATGCAAAATTATGGGTGTTTCTTTATATACTAGTGTAAGACACACACACAAAAAAAAATTAATTAGTTTTAGAAATACATGAGAACAACTTAAATCTAAAGCAGTATTTCAATTATTTTTTAAAATTACCTTCTTAAAGTCTAGAAGATTCTTTCTGTGTTCAAAATAAGGAATCTTAAATGATCAAATTTTAAGTTTGAGGTCAGTTTCATAGAAGCTAGGTTTTGTTCTCATGAGAACAAAAATCTTGAGGCTTGAAAATCAGAATTCTGCTTGGTCTTGCTAAATAGCAACACTGGTGTAAAGATAGAACATGTATATCTTAAATGCAAAAAGACAACTTTCTGTAGTGTTAACATCACATGATGATGAAATGTGGAAGAGAACTGACATTGGGTATGTTCTTTGCTTTCTGTCTACCTCAGTACCCTTATGTACTCTGACTCCTTCCTCAAAAGCACTTTATAAAAAGAGATACCCTACTTGAAAACTGGAAAGGCTATAAATGGTTAACACACAAGAACTGATTGTCAAATTTCTGCAAGAACAGGGTACAGTAGTGTCCTTTTCACCAAAAGACTGATCAACACCTATTTATTATTCATATTTCATCATCCTATATTACAATAAAAAGCCTTTAATAACTCTCTGCTATAGACAGTGCTGCAAAAGACCCTTCTTGTAAATGGTCCATACCTTAAATTAAGCATTTTGAGTCTTAAAGCTCAGCATAAATATTTTCTTCTGCTTCTTGTGCCGGAAACTTGCTTTCTTTTGCAATCACTTGCTACTTCCTCTCTTGTAAACTTTTTCACTTCCAGTTCTGTGAAGTATCAATTCTTCAGCTCCAGTTACTACAGTGTAGCCTTTGAACTGCTTGGCAATTGCTGACCAGCCTCCTTTCTGGAGATTATGATCCAAACTTGATTAATGCTTTAGTTAATATACACAGTGTACTGGTACCGCACCTTACTATTACACTGTGGTTGTTTGCTTCCATGTCATATGAAGTATCCTATCATTTACTACAGCTTCTCTTGGCCACTTCCTCCCTTCTGACAACAGCCTTCTTTTGCCATCAGCTCCAGTTACCCCTTCTTCTTTCAGCAAATTCTGTGTTAAATCCCCCAGTAAATGATATACTTCATGAGACTGTTTCTCAGACCTCTGGCACATGCATGTGTGTACTGTGCTTGCTTTTACCCTGTTCTGGTGCAGCCTTTAGGCATAATGTGCAGGAGGCCTTAGCATCTTCCAGGTGCACTTCCAGTCAGTCAAGTCTTGGCAAACAGAAAAGTAGTCAATAAAATTGCATTACCTTAAGTGAAAAAAATTCTACAAAACCTATAAGGAAAGAGATTCAGGCAATACACCTCTGTAGCAAACACTTTTCCTAGCTCCTTACCTGAATACTTCAGCATGTCCTGGGAGTCTGAGGTTCCAGGGCAGAGCTCATGCTACACAAAGCTATGGAGGAGTGGAACACTTGGGATCCATGCAAAGTCCCATTTAAATCTATTCGTACGTGTAACTTCATGGGGTCGCTACTACTTATTTCACTACAACTGGAGAGGCTCAC